CCCCAAAACCCCAAAACCCCAAAACCCCAAAACCCCTTAGAGAAGGGGATAGATTGAATATACTAATCATTAAGTATGTACACATTCTCTCTTCATCTTACAAAGCTGCTCAGGGAAGTGTGACATATTGGTCAGTTCGAAGAATTACGCACTTTTATGTAGCATTCAGGATGGAATAAGTGGGAACATCTTGATTTTATATAAGTTTCTTTGTGTTTTAATAACTTTTCCAGAGTTCTACTTGAGATTTTTCGTTTATTAAAATACTCAACACAAGGTTCTGATAAAAGGTTTGTTCAGTAATCTCATTGTGGAAGTAGAATATCTTGTATTCCACATTGATCAAAGTCTTCTTGAATGAACCTCAAAGCACTCCCATGTTTTTCTTCATACTTTGAATAGAATGGTCCACAACAAGAAGATTGATGAAGCATGTATATGGATATCAACACTATATGGACCAATGCAAATATGAAGCAAAATGCAATTTTTATCTCTGATGAATGGTCTTCTCTCTCAAAAATGAAGAAATAGTTCACACTGAATGTCAGATGAACACTGATCATGAATGTGGCTGCCCACTCATAATAGCTTCTAAGTCCTCTTCTGGTGTCATGGAGCCTCTTTTTGGTAACAAAAGTGTAGAGAACAAGAGTAATCCAAACCAAATTTTGGCATGCAACAACATAAACATTACTTGTAAGAAAGTCAACGCAATCACGTATGAAGAAACTACAAATAATGCAGATTGCTTGAAACACATGAGAAAAAACAATCACAAGAGTATAAATATTAATATCACTATGATTTCAGGGAAGTTTGTCAATCCAAAATAGTGAAGTGTTAAAGCCTCCAAATAGAATAGTCAGATACGACGATATGAGTAAGAAAAATATGAAAGTGTATAAAGGAATATGTACTGCAGCCCAGAATTTATATTCTACCATCCGAAATATTATGTATCAGAAGTCTCTATGTATTCAGACAAATGACAATGCCCAGATGATTGTTCCGATCCACTTGAAGACCCAAGTATCTTCAGAGCTTTTTCCGTTAAGGCCTAGTAGAATGGCGGCTATATGTAGAATGATAAGTTCATTGGCATATACAAGATCTCAAACCCATACTTCTCCCATGTGGTCAAGTCTATACGAGTTTAGATGAAATTATACCTTCTGGAGAAACTGAGAGGTCAGAATTCATAGAGGGACTATATAGGATAAGAGAGGCCTTATTTACCTGAGAGATGGAATTGAAGTGGTGTAATTTGAGTGAGAGTATAGTGCACCAAAAACCAACATTACAATGAATAGTATAGGCATAATTACTACGTATAGAATGCATATTTGTTCCCCTGCTGATAGTCCTCCTGACATTTTAGTTGGAGAATTTTTTATTTTACAATATTTTAGAGCTATTCTGGGGTTTTGGGGTTTTGGGGTTTTGGGGTTTTGGGG